CCAATGATCGAATCCGGAAAAATCAGATAGTTAGCATTGCGTAGTAGATAATAAATGCGGAAAAAAGTAAATAAGAGATAGAGACAATATATTTATAGTGGTTCCCCTGTAAATCAGGGTATGTCCACTATAGAATTTGGTATGCTTCAATCATAATTGATGAAAATTACAGTGCAGTTGAGAGAAAAGCGAGAAGAGAGAAGAGGAGGAAGCATGAAAATAGTAGTAATTCGGAAAAAACTAGGCCTAAACTCCATAAAATATGCTCCGAGACTCCTTGAAAATTGTGTGGAACTCCAAATATTGCTCGTGGGGGTTAGGGCTAGAGTGCACGATTTTCTAGGCATGGAGGAGATGCCTTGTAGCGTGAATTAGACCCTTATTTATATGCTTGGTGGCGGAATCTATGTAGTATAAGATTTATGTTTGAATGGAGATAGGAGATATCCTATAGATAAGCTTGAAGTTTTAATATTTGAATTATGATTGTGATAATTCTCTTTTTAAGAGGATATATTAATGAGATTCCATGCGATTTGAAGAGATAAAGTCGTGCATACTCTAATTTTTATCAAGTATCTTGGGCACCAAATTACGCAGGACAATCAGGTAGCTTGTCAGGCGAGCTGTCAGTCAGTTGAGTCGCGACCCGCAAGCTGTAAGGAGCTCACAGCTCAATTCTAATGTGTTGGAGCTATTCCTCTAGATCATTCCGTGATCTAGGAAGTCATTGACTCAACGGATAGCTCGTTATCCACTGGAGACTCATCTGACGATCTATCAAGCCGGCGAGCTGTTGGAAGCTCCCGGTTAGTTCCATAGGCCGATTCCATAATAAATCCTCATTCTTCAAGAGATATATTAATAAGTATGTGATGAGAGATAATGTACGAAATTTAATCTTAATAATATTACATGTGTGCAACTGGTTGAGTTAATAAGCAATATTATTATAATAGGTGAAGAAGAGAAAACAATAATTTATTAGGAACTTCGTTGGACGTGATGATATAATCTATATTTATTTATTATAAAGAAGAGTGGGGTTTAATTACTCAGCTTTCACGCAGTTAAATGTTGTCTTATCTTATTCTCCTCCTTGGTCCACATGAAATCAGTATTATTTTCTTTTTTCATTTTTTCAGTTTTTCATTTTTTTAAACGCAGACACGCAGGTAACCCATGTGACGTATCATCAACAAATCTTAATATATTTTTATAATAGAAAAACCTTGGAAATATAAATGATATTGGTTAATAAACTTTTGAAATACTTTTATTGCTCAATTTCCAAGATCATCAAGAAAGAAGAATTTAGAGTAATTTTTATAGATAGTTTCCGAACTCTTTAATAAGTAATATTTTTTTAAATATGACAATTTAGTCATTTTCGTTACATTTTTAACAGAATATCACGTCATTATCAGGTTACTATTTTTTAATAAATGACTTAAATACCCCCATTAGAAATACTATGCAATCTTCTTCTTCTTTTCCCCAAATTTCATCTGGAACAATGGCGATTTCAGAAAGCTCTACGCCTTCCTCTCTGTGGTCCTCAGGCCCAGAAATTTCTAGACGACGTCGTTTTCCCAGTCCTCATCGGTCGAAGAACAAGGCGGGCGTGTGGAAACAGATTCGAATGGGGACGAGTGTTGCAGAGGAATCGAGAACTTGGAGCTCTGGGGAGCCGCCGTGAAGTGGGGGGTCGGAATTGAAGTTCAATTCTTCTCAGGAGTGTTGTATGACCATGTGTACTGGGAATGACGGTCCGTGTTTGTGCGACACTTGGGTCTTTTGCGGAAATAAAGAGAATTGTGGGTCGAAATTCGGCGAGGTGAGGGTTTTTTTTTTTTTTGGAAGTAGTCAACGGCTAATTTATGTGATTGTGAAGTTGGTGTGTGTGTGTGTTGCGATGTTTATTGTTGTGATTTTGTAATTTTTTTTTTTTTTTTTTGCTTGCTGTGATTAAGTTTATATTTTGGTTGGTGGGTGGGGGTTGCCAAACTTGTCATGTTTCTGTTGCAATGGTTGTTATTTGTAAGTTCATTCTGTTATGGCTTAGGCGCCTTAATTCTGATTAACAATATCAATTGTTATTAGTTAATTGAGAGCCATGTTCACTTTGTCTATGTAGTTTTTCACTATAATGAAGAAGAAGATTATAAGAAAATCACACACTGCGGCGTGATTTCGCCCAAGGAGCATCGAGCTCTCAGACTCATTGTCTTTCTTTCTCTAATATCATTCCCAAAACCTCCCCTTTCCACGGTGACTTCGCCCAAGGAGCATCGAGCTCCACTTCGGCGTGAGCTTTCTGAAATCGCCATTGCAGCGTGAGTTTTCTGAAATTGCCATTGTTCCAAATGAAATTTGGGGAAAAAAAAGAAGATTGCGAGTATTTCTAATGGGGGTATTTAAGTCATTTTATTGAAAAAAGTCACGTGATGTTCTGTTAAAAATTTAACAGAATTTGACAGAAATGACCAAATTGTCACATTTTAAAGAGGCTGGGGTCGTTTTTTTTTAAAAAAAACATTAGGAACTAAACTGTCATTCTCCAAAGAATTTGGAGACCATCTGTGCAAATTACCTAAAAATTTAATATATATATACCATCTACAATTATGCACTAGTGTGTTAGCCGTGCAAATAGCACAGATATATATTTACATATTTAACAGTAAAATATGTTAAAAAAAATATGTTACACGATAAAAGTTCAATTTGTAAACAGTAAACATTAAAGCAGATGAACTTTAGAACACATTAAAAGAAGAGGAAAAAAAAAGAAAAAACTAAAAACTTCGAACATTAAAACAGATAAACTTCAAAACACACTGGAAGAAGAGAAAACAAAAAAAAATTTAAACAAATGGAGAAAAAAAAACCAACAAAAGAACCATAAAACCCAAAGGAAAAAAGATTTTAGAGAAAAAGAACAACATGAAAGAAAAAACCAACAGCCAAACAGACATTCGCGACAAAGAGAAAAAAATAACCGTGGGAAGAGAAAAAAATAACCAGAAGACCAAAAGACAGAAGGTGAAAGAAGAGAGAAATGAAAGAGTTGTAGTCAGCTGGAAGCAACATCAGACGTGAAAAAAAAAAAAAAAAACTCGGAACATTAAAGTAAATTAACGCCATAACACACTAGAAGAAGAGAAAAAAAGAAAAAAAACTAAAAACTTCGAACATTATAGCAAATGAACTCCAGAACACACTGGAAGAAGAGAACAAAAGAAAAAAAAAATTAAACAAACAGAGAAAAAAAACCGACAAAAGAACCATAAAACCCAAAGAAAAAAAAGATTTTAGAAGAAAAGAACAACATGAAAAAAAAACCCCAAAAGTCAAACGGACATCCGCGGTGGAGAAAAAAAACCGAAAGACCAAAAGATAGAAGATAAAAGAAGAGAGAAATAAAAGAGTTGTAGCCAGTTAAAAATAACATTACAGGAAAAGTAAGAATACCAAAAAAGAGAAGCACATGTATAGGAGAAAATAAGGGAGGCCACAGCACAACGAAAACAAAGAACTCTACAATCAGTTAGAAGCAACACCACAGAGAAAAAGAAAAAAAAAAAAAAAGACAACCACGTGTTTGAGAGAAGAGAAGAAAAAAATTGGAGAGCAAAAAAGGAAAAATATTGCTCTTTAAACAGTAAAAATCGACCTCCTATAGTAGTGTAGTAGAATATATAGAATCTTGCTTTGTGAAAGAAAAAAAATTTTTTTTTTTCTTGGTGTATCCGATTCCGGTTTGCTAGAAATTTCTTAAGCAAGAATATATAATTAATTTCCTAGTGTGACTACCGCCAGAAAAATTGTACTTTTAGCTCACACGATTGGAAGTGAAATAAAGAAATGGTTTTACAAGTGAGTCATGTCACTATACTCGTTATATATATTATGCATTAATTAATAAAATATGGGTCAATTATTTCTCTCGAAAGAGAGATGCATGGTTCAAGTGGCAACGAGGCTTCTTTCTCGCTCAGTGCCGTACTCATAATTTTACTCATGACAACAGCCAAAACTGCCACACGTATAAAAACTATGAGTACGGCACTGAGTGAGAAAGAAGCCTCGTTTTTATATATGATTGTGCCGTACTCATAATTTTACCCATAATTTTACTCATAATTCCGGTTTGCTGTAACGAGAAACGACAATTTGGAAAAAAATAAATAAATAAATAAAAAATAAAACAACAACAACAAGCGACAGCAATCATATATAAAAACGACAACCATGGCTAACACCATTAATTAAACACCATAAACAGAGAAAAAATAAAAAATAAAAGGATGCATGCCAAGCTTAAGATAGCGTAGTAATAAAGGAAAGACCGCAAAATTACTCCTAAAGTGGTCGGAGTTCATGAAAAGATCTCTTTAAAAACGACAATGCAATGGGTTGATTGACGAAAAGTCTGTATGAGAACGACATCCAAATATAAAATTCAGGTGCATGCTAATTCCAACGATTGAAAACGGAAGGAACCTGATGTGGCAGAGCTGAGGTTAGAACAAATAAAATAAAGGGGTACATAGATCTAGTAACATGTTGATTCATATAAATAATTAGGAAAATAACTTCAAAATTTATTGTTTCACAGAGAATATATATATATATATATATATATATATATATGAAAATTGGAAGAGAGAATTGTGAGCAAATACTACTCATGAATTCACATTCATGATAATATTAATATATTCATTACAAAGGGGCTACTTTATTAATGGGACAAAACACGAACGAAAAACTAAGCCAAAACGGTCTGAAATAATAAAAAAAAAAAAAAATATGGGGTTTTCGCAAAAAAAGAATGAGAAATTAAATGTAGAAACGGTAACCCCAAAATTTATTATCGAAACACAAGTTACTGAAAATGTAGAAACCCCTCTTGAAAATTTCCATTAAAATTTGATCTTGAAATGATCCCAACGCGCTAAAAAATCTTTTAGCACCGCATAAGAACTTAACTCATTTCAGGCCAATTCCTTCAAGATTTCTTCCAAAATGGTACTAAAACGACTCATTCGAACCCTGCTTAGTGCTAAACTAACTCCAACCCCACCCTTATCATTGCAACTCTCATAAAGAGCTATCGTGTTTGAATCATTAAAATGGATTGGTTCAGTCTTTACCGGCCTCCCCAGGCCGAAATCCGTCTCATAAATACCAAATTTCGGCGAGCCCACGACGGTGACATGTTGCAACCCTAATTCCTTTATTTTTTTGAACCTCATTATCCAATTCTCCAGCTCTTTCAGAGCTTCCCTGTTCATTTCACCAACTTCCTTCCCAATGGCCTTGGCAGCCGCGACGAATCCGTTTTCTCCCACTAGCTCCTTCCAATTTACTGACGCGAAACACACTGTCAAGCAATTTCCAAAGTATGTTATTGGTAGCGGAAACTGGAGGCGTTTTCGACAATCCGCGACGAAGGCGAAGTGGTAAGGCTCGTCGTTTTTAATGTCGATCGCCGTCGAATTTCTCTCTTCTGATTTCGCCAAGCAAATCCATATCACCGAGCAAATAACAACAAACGACGACATGTGAAAGGACGTGAAATCATCGTCTTTGGCCAATTGATTGGTGAGCCAACGCTTTAGTCCCACAATCTGGGATTGGCTAAGAGCAAACGCGGCACGAACGTTACGGAGGGCTACTCCTTCGTCCACTTTACTCCATGTCGGCGCTAAACTCCTCCATGTCTCCAAGAACTCGAGCTCAAGCCCATATTGGTCCTTGACCGCGGCCCGATCGTGAGACGGCAGCCGTAGCTCTCGATTAAGCTGAGTTAAATCTCCTCCGGTCTTGCAAAGCAACGCCCATGATTTGAAGAAATGGTGAAACGCCCTCCCGTCGGCCACCACGTGGCTGAACCGAACGCCAATGCAGATACCGGAGTTTGGAAAGACGGTGATTTGCAAGGCCAGAACAGGCTCCGCAAGTGCGTCGCCGCCACGCTCCACAGGTGTCGGGCCCGACAGCTTGGGGATGAACGGGTCCAATGCTCGGACGGGAAGCGGGTGAGGGGCCGAGAGATAATGGAAGTCGGCGGCGGACTCGGCAACGGTGAGGGATACAGAGTCGCCGTCGGTGAAGAGAATGTGAAGCTTCGCGGGCGGTGGAGGGCGGACGAGGTTGGCGGCGAAGGGGAAGAAGTGTTGGAGAGTGAGGGAGAGAGAGCTTTTGAGAGAGGGAAGTAGGGTTTGTAGGAAGTGGTGGGTTGAGTGAGGATATTCGAAGAAGTAGGGACGTTGCATGTGGGGAAAAAGAAGCCATGGCACGTCCAAGAAACTGAGAGGAAGAGTGGTTGTTGGGACTGAGCCTGGCGGTGGAGACACCTTGCTTTGCTCGATTACAATCACTCCCTTATTCGGCTTCGGAGCCATGGATAACGTAAGGAGAGAATTTCCGTAGTATCGATGCAAGGATATTGATATCCTCCCATGATATATATAATATATGTACACATTATATTATATTACTTTTTGGCTGTTTACAGAAGGGACCGGTCAAAGAATCAAAATATTGTCACATTGTTAGGTCGCATGTGGCAAAGAAAAGGTCAAGCATGGGCGGCGAATATACACACACATACACACATACACACACATATTTAAAGAAATGATCTCGTTAACCAAGGAAGAGCACAAAAACCAAGGAAAAAGATTTTCTTCGATGATATCTCTGTGTGTGTGTGTATGTATTTCTTTTTTATTTTTTGGCTTTACTAGTTAAAGTGATAAGTAGAGCATCTGAAATAATTTTGTTAGAGGTGTTTATGAATTAGAATCCACGGATTAGAGGTTAAACTCTGTCCGATTTAAAATTTTCGGATTAGAAAAATTTCACTCCGCGTTCAATTTAAAACCTTGTCAGATTGGATCCAATTCAATTTAAAACTTATCGGATTTTGCATATTGAATTCACATATTGCACGGATTACGACTTTTAAAATTATATTTTATTAAACATTTATACAACATAAAAAAATGTAAAATCTTAATTATTTTTCATAATTTAAAGTTTATAACATCCGTAACTCAAATAAACATAGCACAAGAATAACATAAAATTATTCAACCAACTCTAAATTGTTACAATCTAATTAACGATGACAAAATAAATTCACTAAAACTCAAAATGCAACTTCATTTTTACATATTTAAAAAAATTAAAAAAAAGAGTTGGCTTAAAAATATGATATATAGATATAAATTATATATATAATAGGTTTCGAGTCGCGGATTTCATGATTGAAAAGTTTTTAATGCGCAATCCAATTGAAAACTTTTGGATTGAGAAAATTTCAATCCGTGTCAAATTCAAACAAAGTGTGGTCATGTGGTTTTATCTTTTTTTTTTAAACAGAAATCGAAACAAAAAAAATCACGTGACTGTGTTATTCTCTTTTTTCTATCTGTTTTTAACAAAAATTGCAACATAAGGGATTAAGTGGAAACAATTCAAAATTCATGAGGTAAAATGAGATTTTTTAAGTTTTAAGGAACAAACTGAGAATGACTCTAAAGTTGAGGAACATTAATGATAATAATCCTAACGTATATATACCCACGTGACAGCCCAAAAAATTATATAAGGGTCCAAAAATAATATGATTGTGAAATTTCGTGGCTTTGAATAAATAAAAGACCACGCACTGCATGTGGCAAATGAACGTATGGTTTCAATAATTAAAAGGCTACGTTTGTGGCCGCAAACTTTCTTATTATTATTATTATTATTTTATTATTATTATTATTATTATTTTTTTAGAGAAGATTCCATTATTAACCAAGAAAAGATGACAAAAGGCTGCTTTGGTTAATGGAATCTTTTGGGTAATCAAGACTTTATGTGATTATGTGCTCCAAAACTTTGACTTTATTCGTGACCTTTAATTTACCTTGTTTAATTAAAACCAATTTAGAAAAATACTGGTCCATAGGGATGCCACCTATTAAAATAAGTGAAAAAAAGGCACCTGCAGATTCGTAATCAATAATATTGTAAGAAAAATATTGAGGAATTTACATATATGGAGGGACTAAAATGCATGCTAATATATAATTAGGACAACATTGATTGTAAGTAGCACCATGAAAAAAGTGGATCAGTTCTTCATGGAGAATACCAAAAATGTTTGTTATCAAAATTCGTTGGTTCATCAAAATAGCGAAAATTGGAAAAAGAGGGAACAAACACTCAAAAATTATTCAATAATTAAATAAATAAACAGGAAACTGCTTATATATTCAGCCTAAATATAATTAAACGTAATAAATATGAGAAATTGGAAAATTTTGATGGGAAATAGAAATTGAAACTATCAGATAAGGAAATGCAAACAGAATTAGAATTTGAAATTCTACGGTCAACTTATTACAAAAATAGAAATTAATTATTAAAAACTTTTGAAGGTAAACGATGGAATTTGAAAAAAAAAAAAAAGTACTTCATGGTAAAACAATGAGTGTAATTTGTTGGCCCATTTTCATCAGAAAGGATTGTATGTTTCGCCCAAATTTGACAAACTCATCAGACATTATAAAAATAAAAAAAATTGCCTTATTTAACCTTGGAATAATCCCAACAAGCGATAATAATTGGATCTTAAGCTGTGTTTGAAATTGATCCCGTTTTTATTTTTTATGTTTTTTGAGAAAAAAAATAAAAACATTTTTAAAATGGTGTTTGGCGCAATAAAGATAAAAAATAGAAATGAAAACGATTTTTTAGTTTAGTGTAAAATGAGAGAGAAATGAAAAATGACTTTTAGTCGTTTTTTATTTTTTGTTTTCGTTTTCTCCTCTTTCGAGCAGAGAGAGAAAAAGAAAGACATTAAGAGTTTTTTTACACTGAAAATAATCTTTTGATAAAACTACCAAACGCATTTTCAAAAATGATTTCTGTCTGAGATTAAAAGTATTTTCATTTTTATTTTCATACAAAAAGTAAAATCATTTTAGAACGAGTTCCAAACGCACCCACCATAAATTTTTCACGGCAAACGCTCTCACACTTCGAGTTTTATTATAGTAAAAAGCTCTTACAAACAATTATATTTAACTTTTTTATTACAGTAATAAATTTTCACGTAAAGTTACATCTAAACTCAAATTAAAAACTCAAATAAGTGAACTAAACGTGCTCTTAATTGCTCAGCCTTTAGGCCTTCCTCTTTGTTGGCGTCCTGCCTTTTCTTTTGAATGAAATTGTTAGGATAATTTGCACATATGGTCTCTAAACTTTGTAGTAAGTGACAGTTGGTTCTTAATTTTTTTTTTTTGACAAAACGATCTCTTTAAAAGGTAAGAATTTGGTCATTTCTGTTAAATTTCATTAAATTTTTAACCCAACATGCCACGTGTCCCAATCACATGAATCTTTTTTCAATAAAATGACTTAATTGCCCCCATAAAAAATTCTCTGCAATTTCTAAATTTTTCGCTCCTCCTCTGCACGTCCTCTCTTTCTTCATCGATGAATCTCTGTTTCTTTCTTCTCAGATCTAGTTTCTCTCTCCTCCGCTGCCCATTCCTCTCTCTCCTCCGCCACTGCCCATTCCTCCCTCTCTCTCTCTTCATTCCCTAGCTTTCTTGATTCTATTTTTTGTTGCTGTTATGCGATTTTGTGGTTTTTCTGGTTCTTTTTCTGCTTCATTTGATTCCTCTGGCTCTCCATTTTCTATGAGTGTGACTCTTTTTGTGTTTGTTTCTGTTGTTGTTATGGTTCTTTGTTTTGATGAGTTTTTGCCTTTTGTGTTACTGAAATGAAATACTTCCTTTTCACGTCTCTGTTAGTACGGCATTATCTGTCACGCCCCCCAAATGGGGTGGGTGACGTGGAGCTCGATTAGGGATTAATAAAGCAGATTCCCAGACCGGGCCCCACACTTAACTGCATTAAAATATAAATAAATTACAGAATTCTGGAGCTTTTGACACACAGGGCTCCACCCCACAGGACATACAGTATCGTACATACATGAACATATAATTAATCATTACAATAGACATCAACCACAGTCTAATAAATCTAAATATTATATAAGTTTACAGAATTTCTCAAATTCCTTACATTGTCCAAAATGATGTCCACGATCCTCACTTGATTCTAACAGCAGCACAACTCAGCTGCTCCGTAGCAAATATCCAGCTACTGTGCACCGCTCCTAGAATCTCCTGGAAGGGGTTTAGTACATTTAAAACATAAAACGTGAGCGAAAGGCCCAGTAGGATATAATTTGAAATAAACGTTATAATAAATGTACGAGGGAATACATAAATAAATAAGTA